GGAACGTGCTTCTCAACATGACATGTATCACTCGACCATCAGCGAACCAGCCCGGCCAGGATTGATAGCCTCTCTCGTTCAGAAAGCGGCTCAGCCACCGACCAAAGTTGATTCGCATTGCCAAAGTAGGACTCTGGCGAGGCGGACGAGAAAGCTTCGAAGCAGCAGCGACGAGGAGAGGTGAAACTGACACGAGCATTGTTATCAAGCATATTGCATATCGAGCAAGCTGCTCACCTCGTCCAGCGTGTGATGAAGTTCCTGCATAGACCTCACAGGCAGCTGAGTGGAGCAAAATTGCCTGATAGAAGTCTTGAAGGCGCATAAGTCTCGAATGCTGCGGTTCCAGACGCAGCTGTGGGAACCCTGACAAAACAAAACTCCTCATGCGCACAGCCCGTCGCAGGAAGAAGACCCCTCACCTGCTTCCAGAAGCATCTCTACCTCCCTGTTACATTCATACCAATTCACATACCCATGTTGTTCCATCATCGCAGTCGTCCATCTGCCGAGGAGGGATTTCATCAAATCAGGTACGATATCCTGAAGAGCACAACCGACGTGTACATAACCTCTCACTGTGGTACGAGTTCTCATGCCTGATGGTAGATTTCGAACAGGTGATAGCGGCAAGGTCACCAAAAACACCAAGGGGAATCCAGTTCACAAAAGCACCAGCAATGGTCAGTCCCTCTAGCCTCAATAAAAGTCCCTTTCCTCACCCCCTTGTGCTCCGCGACCATTCTAGGTGTAAAATAGACACATGATTTCACCCATTCGACAACCTCATCGATCTCCTTCTTCGAAACGCCTCCCGAGGGCAACGCCAGAGGGTTGCCTTGATGCTCCTCGTTACCGTAGCCCAGCCGATGGGTAAGGCGCCGCTGAAAAACAACAGAGTATACTACATTGATCCAGGGAAATCCTAATTTATTATGAGCTCTCACCCACCGAGTCTTGAATCTTATTAACTACAATTTAAAATAGTATGCACATATACATACCAGCAATGAGTGAACTTATACTATAAAATTGATTAAAACGCACATACTTCGTTGAATGCTCACCTTTCTTTCAGCATCGCCGACAATACGCGTTCTGCTCACTTCAGTGGCCGCTAGGAGGACTTTCGCCCGACTCCTCCTGTTCAGCGCCCTGGGCATAACCTCCATAATGGCGAAGCCAGCGAGCAGTCCAATGACGACCAGACCGAACAACTGAAGGTTAAATATCCTATTATCCTATCGATATCCATCTATCGTTGTATTGAGGGATGATATCATAATCTCTACCACTATTTTATATTTAACAAACAATAGAGTAATACCGGCGATATGGACGAACACATTTCATTTCGCGAAAAACGCCTGTGAACAGTGAATGAAGCGTACGACACGCGATTGTGTAATGAGGTTGATACGGGGTGATTTGTCCGGTCTAATTCACCAAGTGTTTTCAATTCAATTCACATCGCGTTTTTCACATGGAGTAATACACCACTTCACGTGAAACTCCAATGTTAGATAATACCACATATGAGCTCAATGAGCAACCATTATGATTATTATATAATAACAGGAGACTCTCCGACCGATCCGGTCGTATGCAATAGGAGATGAGAACACCCCAAAAGAAGACTGACCATGCAATAAGGCGCGCGTCTGTCCTTGTCGTAGAGGATTCCCGATAATAGAATAGCCATGATCTTCCAGACGTTGAGGTCCAATGCCAACAAGCCCATCACAAAACTCTTCTTGGACGGGTCACAAAGTCTTGAAAAAATCTGAATAAAAAAGATATCCAAGAAAGCTCTTGAATGCGATTAATCCTGATTGCTATTCGGTGAAGTTGTGTAACTACGTTATGTTCTTTGGACCCAGAGGGATCTATGCATATAACATCACCTACGACAACCTATGCCCAGAGGCTCCTAACGACCTTCGGAAAACAGTAGTGTCGATGCACCCTCCACTATGGTGCATCGCTCCGCTAGCCAAAATCAAGAATATGTAGCTGCCATAGGAATATTCCCACATTTTGAAGCTACGACCAATACCAAAAATTCCACGTAGTCCAAAGAACGCCTCAGCGGACAAGAAGTTCAAAGCGATGAGAGTTGACCTCCACCACTAGGAGGGCCCAACCATGTACGCGACATGGACTACGATACACATGAGAAGCTAGTAGAGAGCATCCCGGGAACCATTGGGGAATAGCACGCTAGGAAAAGTTGGATCCAAACGTAACCAAGAAGTCACAGATTGAGGAACAACCAACATGGCGTGTAAGGCAGGCACGATTAGTCTGTGCCAACATACACACAGTTGTTGGGCCTGCGCGAGATTAGCACTAAGTAGGCGTAAACTTCAGCGTACGACACACGAGCCTTAAGCTTACTGCAAAGCCCATGGTCATGACCAGCGGCAACCCCAATGAGAATAGGGAGCCCACTGCTATCGCCACCCACACGTTGCTGACGAAACCGAGAATAATAATGAAGGGAGCCAGAGCGAAGCCAAAGACGACAACCGCGCCTTCGGAAAATTTGAGTCGATGGAAGAGGAAAGGGAGGACTACCAGCTGGCCAGCTGAAAATATAACCGTTATAGGACTGATGAGAAGGTGGCAGTCCTACTTATGATCATCAGACCACACCATCCACTTATGGACCCAAGCACGATGCTGGACAGGCCCAGTTCCTTCTGAATGGTCACTAGGAGGAGGGACCATCCTTGGGTCCCAGCACTGGATATACCACATACGAGGAACCAAAGTAATATAGCTTTCCTGACCAACAGGACTAATGCAGATTATAGTAGTCAACCCACCATTCCACAAGAGGACCGACTGCTTTACTCGGTTTCGCATCGGCGACGGTAGCAGCGTTATTCCCCTTAGACGCACATACACGAAACCCCGCGTCCTTTGGAGACTTCCTCATGAAAAACAGGACCAGGAGAAAGCTGGCGGCATTCAGAGCCAGACCAGCATAAGCCGGATTTAAGGGCGCTGATTGATCGGCCTGAAATACACCGTTAGAAGGTATGGTGACGCAACCACCCATTGTGGGGGGGAATATGCGCTTAAACGATACCAAAATTCCGAGGAAATTTCCGGAAATTTTTGAGATTCCAATACCGCACTCACCTGAGCGATTATTCCTCCGAGAAAGGGGCCAACGAAAGACGAGACGCTCGACACGATCGGGACGAACGACATCCAGAAGGTGAGCATATGACGATCAGACATCCAATCGGTTATGTACCTGATGATACACCGAGTCAGCAGATCTCTATTGAATCCACAATTATATATTTCCTCAAAGTGTGGGAATATATGCACATGTTCAACCAAGACCCGGCCGACATGAGAATAACAATACCGATCTTTTTGATAGTATCAACGGTTCCCTTGAGTGGAGCGTTGAGTAGCCTCTACAACCAAGATACTACTAACGAAGAAACTTCTTGACTGCATGGCGTTCTGGTGACAAAATTTTGGGAAATTTTCCCTGGCTTTTGTATACTAGTAGTATTATGTACTAGTAGTAC